AAAAAAAAAATAAGTAAATGAAAAAAAAAAATAAATAATAACTAATAATAATACTTATTAAACTTTATTATAGTCTTAAATCTGGACTTTACAATTGTTACTATCAGTTTTTATTTTTTTTCGTTACTTAATCACAAAAAAAATTTCCAAGTATGACTGTATGAACAATTTTTCCCGTTGGTGGCGCTGTTTCAAAGTGTTGCTTACAGTGGGTTGAGGGACAGTGCGGCGGATAGCCGCCATTTATAGCACATGTCAGTGGCGGTCAATTTGAAATAATAAATAACAGTTCACATCGCACCACTCCACAATGCCATTTTACGATTGCGCTTTTGCTGCACTGCGCAAGTGCGTAGGGGCAGCGCAATTATAGAAGAGGCCCTGCAATGACTTAGGCACACAGCTGTATATCTATATACACTGGAAAATAGTGGGAGGTACTGAAAATGGCGGAGCTTATCAGCACTGTGTGACCCTATTCGCCACACTTTCCCTCGACCCACTGTATGCAACACCAGTGAGCTTCGAGGGAGTGAGGAGACAATGTCCGCCATTTGAGGTTCATGGGAAAAGGCGTGAGCTTGAAAACGCAGCATTTAGCATATAAATATGCGTCGTGATATACATATATATGTATGGATATATACATACATACAAGTACATGACGTAAGTCCCCATGAGCCTCAAATGGCGGCTGACCAATCCGCAGCGGTCCCAACGGTGTCATCTCACTCTCTCGAAGCTCACTAGTGTTGCAAATAGTGGGCCGAGGGTCGAGGGACAGCGTGGCGAATAGGGTCACGCGGTGCTGATTAGCTCCGCCATTTTCAGCATCTCCCACCATTTTCCAGTGAATATAGATATACAGTTTCGTGCCTAAGTCATTGCAAGGCCTCTTCTATAATTGCGCTGCTCCCACGCACTTGCGCAGTGCAGCGAAAGCGCGATTGTAGAATGGCATTGTGGAGTGGTGTGATGTGAAATGTTTATTTATCATTTCAAATTGACCGCCACTGACATGTGCTATGAATGGCGGCTATCCGCCGCACTGTCCCTCGACGGCCTCGACCCACTGTAGTGTTGCACGGAGCCGCGAATACCCACTCTTTTCAGGTTTGAGACACGCTCCGCCTTTTCATTGTGAACGTTCATCTTAAAATTAGTGTGAAGGATATCTATGTGAATAACCCCAATATCTCATAAGAGATTAAACTTAGTTGGGTTATTGTAAATTAACATTTACTTATTTTCAGAATTAGTTGCATGTCACTTTGTACTTCTTTACTTTTGAGTGTAATTTGTGTTTCCTAAAATAAAAAGTTTTACTTGATGCATATACTAAAAAGAATAATTTTTCAAATTTGTAAATCTTCACTTAACCCAACCGTTACTGACCTACTGAAAATTGGTCTTCTGCTCGTTTACGCTGGATCAACAGATGTTTGAGATGTTTTAAGCGTGAAAAACAATATTAATAAGTCAAAGACTAACATTGATTGTAATGTATAAATAACTGTTGTCAAAAAAAAAGTATACTTTTGTTCCTGCCGTTGGATTTTCGAAATTTTCTCATACTTTGAATGTAACTTTCAAAATTTTTAGAAAACTCAAGTGTAAGACAAG